CTGTCTGGTTTGAGATCTTCCCTTCTGGACATGGAGTACAATCATAGCAGCAAAAGGGTTCGCCTTCTTTCTTGCTCTTTCTATAACCTGAATGGCATTTCTCATTACACAATGAAATAGGCTGTGTCTGTCCATGAACAGAAGAAGCATTGGATTAAATATGCAGAAAATAAGAGAAAGGCTCAGTCAGAACAGTTGAGAAAGATTTCTGCTTTTGGTTTAAGGGAGCAGACTAAAGTAAGGCAGACCGACCACCTCTCATTGTCGTCTGTGTATATAACTTACATTTTTGCAATGAGTTGGAAATTGGAAGAAGCCCCCCTTTCCCTCCTATTTCACTGAGACTAAGGATTCTAGAAAGATACAAGGAGACCTTAGACAGAGGAAATCTCCCATTAATCGACTTTATCTTCTAGAATCCTCAGTCACATTGAAACAGGTTTCAGAGAATGTAGGATGAATCTTCCACATCATATACTGGTATTACAGAGAAACATACCCCAAATTCTTTTCAGGGAAATTGCTAATTTATACTACTGAATGAGAGACAGCAATAAGCTAAGAGCTAAAGTTGTAAGAAACGAAAAAATCAGGAGAATATTTGGGAAACAGAATTCTAATTGACAGATGTAGAAACAATGAGAGTTTTGTTTATCAAAAGTATTCGGTTTTGTAAGCTGAACATTGAAGCTCTTTGAACTTTAGATAAGAAAATTAAAAAGTTCTTAAAATGACATGGATTCTACCTGTCCAAACTGGGTTGGCCAGACGATGTTTTTTTCAGAAATAGTCAACAGTTGCTCTAAGGGTGCCTCTGGCTCTATCCTTCCAATTTTGACTCTAAGAAAAGACTGATTTGAGAAAGTGACCCAGTTGATAATATCAAATCCTCCTACTAATTCACCATTTTGGTCAAAAGAAATAGTTTTGCCACTGCTGTCATTAAATGAAACATGTCTAAGAAAGTGATACATCTAAATGGGAGTAAGAAAGAAACCATTTAATATATTCCTTCTTATTGCAATGTATCTTTAATACTTTTCATACACTATGCATATTCACACCTAAGGATGGGGAGAAAGGCTTTTTCACTTTATTGATACAATGACATCAGACCATGTTGTGATTTCCCTGATTATACAAGTGAAAAAAAAAAAGGGGGGGGATATAAATGGAAAGAAGGAGAAGAAAAGAAAAAGTAGCTATTAACTTAAGTAAATAAAAATATAGGGAATAGGGAATTGATGTCCCTAAGCATTTCTCTGGCTTCTTTTAAAAATATGTGGTAGTTCCAGATATGTCAGGTTATACTGAATGTGTCCTATCCAATATTTAAAAGTCTTCAATGGCATTCCCATCACATCACTTTGAAAACTCTGTATGATTAGCAAAAAATCAGAGTCTTGTAGCACCTTTTCTGACCATCACATTTTATTAAAAGGCATATGATTTTGTGAATTTCGGAAGTTTATACCTTTTAGTAAAATTAAAAAGCTTATCCCTTTTAATAAATGTGTTAGTTGGGAAAGGTCTCATCAGACTTCTTCTAGTTTTTGCCACCAAACATGGTTCTTCTCTTACAATGTTTGTTGGATTAGGTAATCTTTAGGATTTAACATTCATTCAAATTAATATTTCATCTCATCAGGTGGCTGCAAGTGGCTGATCTTCCTTAAAGGAAAAACAGGATCAGGCATTCTTATTATTTGGACTGAATACTACCAAGCATGCAACAGATGTATTAGTTGGGGAAGTGGAAAAAAGAAGTTCCCAGAGAAGAACTGGCAAACCATCACTGCACTGTAGCCAAGAAGCTGTGGACGTGTCCTTAAATAATTTCCATTTCATACACCCGTATGTAATTTCAGGGGAGCATAATGAATCTTGTCTAATGTAACAGAACATAAATATAGGCTAGAAGAAACATAGGTACCAACTGTTTCAAGCTAGGCTCTATGGCAGGACGTAGTTGAGCTTGGATGATCTTGAAAATGCTACATGTGGTTAGTGTTTGCAGAGAAGTTCATTGGAAACTTTCATGGCAGTGTGTAGAGTGGGAAGTTTAAAATGGTTCCCCAAAAAAGGCAATAAGGAATTTCATGACTGTTGCCAAGAAAACTACATGGACATGATTATGAAATCATCAGTGATCAAGCTCAAATCAAAGGACATTTTATCTTGATCTTAAGATGTAGTACAACCATTCAACAACATTCTATCATCATATCATGAAAGGAAGTTGGGTTAGTCTAGTCCTGGCTAAGAGAATGTAACCACCAGCATAGACCAGTATCTTTCACATTTTTTCTTGGCTCACAGGAAAAGCCAAAATTGGTTTCTGTCAATACTATCTGCTTCCTCAAGTCAGAAAATACTTGATGGTTCTGACGAAGAACAGAATGCCCACAATAAATAGTTGATTCCAATTCCACCTGTAAGTAATATCAAAATCTTCTCTTCAGCCAAAAAAAGGTGGCACACAAAAGGGATTCAGAGCATTTAACTAACCTTCTGGTCATATGATCTAAAAATAAACTAAGGAAACCTCCTTTGTAAGAAAAAGCTGGTCTTTCATTCTAAAACATTCTAAAACAGAACATATTTATTTTGTGTTGTTTAATCTTTCAAAATGAATTTTAGAAGGTCAGCAAATACAGAATAATCAGCCTAATCTCTAATCAAACCCACCACTGATTCATGGCAAAATGAGGTTGGATGTTTGACCCCACATTAACAAACAAGCAACCCACAGAGGGGCAACTGAAAAACAAACCAGGATAAACAATAACAAGAACCACAAGTTTTGTACATCCTTACCCCAACACATTGGATGTTACAAGAGGGTGTAGATAATATTACCTTACATTACAAGGGTAATGACAAGCTTGGGGGAAAAAAATCCACTGGAGAGCAGAAAAACTATAATGAGAAACTCTAATAATGGTGGAAATATATTGTCAAATTTTCTTACAGAGGAACTCTCTCTCCACTTTTAGATAGTCTACAGGAATCTGACTTTCTCTAGATATTTCCAGGATTCTATAGTACAGTGAATTCTATGGAAAGAAATTGGGGAAGAGGAAGGATATCAGTGGACCTTATAGCCCTATGATTCTATGATTACAAGAAGAGGATGCTGCAACATCTTTGCTAGTTTACTTGAAGAGTTACCTTCCATAGCTGTTGATGCACTTTCTGTCTCCATCCATTTGCAATTGGCCTTTGGTTTCCCATAGAAGAGTATATGGCATGCAAAGCATGTGCGATGGCATAGACAGCAGTGTAGACACTGTAACTGTGGGCAGTCATCCTCATTTCAAACACAGTCATAGGGAGAGTCTCTAGTTGCTCCTTCCCAGTGCAGTTATTCTCATCCATCAGATCACTGGTAAAACCAGGGAAGAAGCAATTAAATACCTGTTGCCAGGTTTCTCTTAGGAAGCCATCTTCTTTCTCCAAAGCAGGGTTCCTCCCTCGAAGAAATTGATGGAAGCCAGAAACATCATTGAAATTAATGGCCAAGGATAAAGACCCATGAAGGAAATTTAAGTCCCAACTTCTTTGAAGGGGAATGGACATGAAATCAACTTCTGCTGTCATAATCCAGACTTTAGAATAAATTGGCATTTCCTCAAATTCAGATATTTTGAGGAAATTCCTTAAAGATAACATACTTTGAAATTCACCATGAACAATCACAGTGTTAGATGTACGGGTCAAGAGAAAACATAATGTTTTATGAATCCCTTCTGCGACTTCACCAATCTCATTGAGATATCCATCAGATAGTTTTCTTATGAAATCAAAACAGATACCACTTTTGGAAAACATGGGAAGCACATTTTGTAGTAATAACTGTGTCAGTTTGCCGATATCAAGATATAACACCCCAATCCATGTCCACCCAAAATGTAACAGAAGATGGAGAATCCCCCTGTGCTGATGTATTGCATTTGGGAACATCCAGTGGAAGACAGTATCTTTGGTCTTCATCTCTGGAGCAGAAGTATATCCAAGCTAAAACATTTGAAGGAAACCAAGAGGGAAAAAGTGTCTCTTCCCTGCCATCCCATAAAAGCATTTCATAGTCAATTTATGCTTATATAGTACAGCATTTTCCAATTCACAATACTATTCTATCTGATGTTCTCAGATAAAAAATTATTACTAAACATTAAGAGTGGAAGATATAAATATCCAGGGTTTTTAAAAAATATTATTTTCAAACTCTTATTGTTTCATGAAAGCCACTTACCTGTGCAATTTTGTAGCTGGTCAAGATGTTTGCCATGTCCAGGAATTCATCAGAGCCCGGTCCCCCAACAACAGCTACCAGATTGTTCTGGAGGTCACATTTATAGTTAGGGATGAATCTTCTTGGTGTAGAGAGTAGTTCCATTGTGGCTGCATAGGTATGTCTTGAACAAAAGTAAGTGTTATAGATGTTGAAGCCTAGGGTGACATTGGCTAAGATCTTGTGGTTTCTATTAATCTCTTTTACAGCAAACACCAAGGCTAAGACGTGTTGGTAGGCCTGAGTCAGTACACTAGAGTGAAATTCAAAAATCAGAAGTACATACAGTTAAATTGCTTCAGAGGAAATATTTGCTGCATTTCAATACAATATATATATATAT